ACTCACCCTGGCGGCCCACGATCTCGGCGACGTGGGGCGTGCTGCTCATCGGCGCGGTGCTCACGGGGAACTCGCTCGTGTGCGTGAGCGTGGCGGCCGAGCGCGCCCTGCAGACGCCCACCAACTACTTCATCGTGAGCCTGGCGGCCGCCGACCTCCTGCTCGCCCTGCTCGTGCTGCCTCTCTTCGTCTACTCCGAGGTGAGCCCGCGGCCACCGCCGCACGCGCGCCCCTCACCTGCTCCTTCGTCCCCTGTGCCGGTCCACGCCGAGGACCCAGCGCGGCTCGGCCACTTGGCTTCTCAGGAACCTCGAGCTGGGCGATTGCAGGGGCGCTGCGCCGGGTCCCAGGCGGACCGGAGCCTCCCTCCCCTCGGAACCCCACTCCCCTCCCCCAACTCGCTGTCCATCTCCCTGCTTTGCTGTCTGTCTGCACTCCCTCTTCTGTCCCTCTCTTCTCTTCTCCCTCGGTCTTGGCGTCTGCTACCCAAGAGATGCCTCTATCCTTCAAGCCAGACATCCCAGAAACAGGCGACTTTGGCAGTCCAGCCACCTCTCCACCCCCTCAGCTGGGTTCTGATCCCCAGGAGAGCCAGCTGGACAGACAGGCAGATGCAGCCTTAGCCCCCGGCTCCCCCTGGGCCACAGAGACACACATCACTGCACGAGGCCACCAGGAGCACGAACACACCAGCTCGCCCCACAGAAGGCGCCCTCACTCATGCACAGACTGGGCCCCCAGCTGGAAGGATGCTAGCTGCCAGGAGCTGCCAGGCAGTAGGCATGGCTAGAGGGAGGGGACAACCTGGGGCGAGGAGCCTCCACCCCCAGACCAGGTCTGACCCTTGGGTGGGTCCCCCTTGGTGCCAGGCCCATCTGCTCCACAGTCTGGGCAGAGGGAAGCTGCTTAGGGCTGGGTTGGGGACACAGTGTCCTGGGCTGGGGGGAGGGGAGACTTGGTTTTTCTAAGGTGGACACTGAGTCCAGGCAGGGCTGGGGCAGAGGCTAGCAGGGCAAGGACATGCATGACCTGCCGCTCCTGGAGCTGCAGACAGACGTCACAGTGATGGCTCTTAAGCTCCTAATCGTCCCAAATCAGCGGGAGGGGATTTAGAAGGGGGGGCGGCTGTCTGCTCCTTTGCCCTTGGTGGGAGCGCTGGGCACAGTGCCGAGGCCTTTATATTTTTTAACTCATTTATCCTCAGGACAATTATGTGAGTACTGTCATCACCCTCATTTTACAGATGAGGGGACAGAAGTGAAGTGACTCAACCAAAGTCCCAGAGCAGTGGCAGAGTTTAACAACACAGGCTGGTTCCTAGCCATGGAAACAGGAGTGGTGGGCTTCATGCTCCAGGGTAGCAGGGCCCCCCTGCCCAGGTGGGGCCCCTGGGACCCTGAGCCCATCATCAGATATCATAATCCTCAGGCCTGTCTCAGTTCTAACAGAAAGGAGACCTGGGGGTGTGTCTCTTGGCCCCTGTTCTGGGGAGGACTGCCGAGGCCCGTGGGTCGGGGCAGAGCCTGGGCAGCTGCCCCTGGTTCACCCCAGCTCCCTCCCCCTCTGATATTCAGCCTCTGCTCCCCAAAATAGTGGGGGTCAGAAAGACAGAGCGACCAGTGGCTGTGAGGGCTGCTGGCCTGGCCGTGGCTGGGGGAACGTCAGCGGGTCTTGTGTCTGTTGTTGCTGTGGCGTCCCCTCTCCTGGCGGCCCAGGTGCAGGGCGGCGTGTGGCTGCTGAGCCCCGGCCTCTGCGACGCGCTCATGGCCATGGACGTGATGCTGTGTACGGCCTCCATCTTCAACTTGTGCGCCATCAGCGTGGACAGGTGAGCCGCCCGCTGCCCCGCCTCGTGCCCCTGCGCGCGCGCTGCGCCCCCTCCCCTGTCCCCGCTCCGCTCACCGCGCTCCCCGCAGGTTCGTGGCCGTGGCCGTGCCCCTGAGCTACAACCGCCAGAGCCGGGGCGGCCGTCAGCTGGTGCTCATCGGCGCCACGTGGCTGCTGTCGGCTGCGGTGGCGGCGCCCGTGCTGTGCGGCCTCAACGACGCGCACGGCCGCGACCCCGCCGTGTGCCGCCTGGAGGACCGCGACTACGTGGTCTACTCGTCCGTGTGCTCCTTCTTCCTGCCCTGCCCGCTCATGCTGCTGCTCTACTGGGCCACCTTCCGCGGGCTGCGGCGCTGGGAGGCC